CAAGCGTAATGTGAAACATCCATAAGCTGATGACAATTGCATTGGAAACCAAGCTATAAAGTTTATGAATTTTGATCATTAACACACAAAAAATTGGTTAGTTAAGATGGAAGGAGTCAGCAGCTGATTACCATACATAAGAAAGCACACTATAAATCAGCTCGGTGTACATTTATCTTCAGCAAGTTATTATTTCTTACTTAAACGCCTTATACACTTCTTCCTTTCTGAGAAGATACTACAGTAACACTTTATATTCTTGTTTATTCCACTAAAGTTAGGTGCGTTAAAATGTAAGCTGTTAAGTATTAGGTACATTTACCTGTGTTGAAAATCGATAGCCTTCCCTCTTTACCCGACGTACTACCGGCTAAGTGATGTTCTTGAGGGTGTCAGCAGGGAGTCAAACTCGGACTACATGGATGGGTGACGAGTATCCTAACAGTGAATCACCAACACTATAGGTGACACTGATTCACCACAATCGTTTTGTTTTACAGTAAACCTTTGAACCACTACAGACAAGTGAATTGAGGCGCGCACAGTGGAGAACACTGATTTCTTCAAATTATCATTTACTTGACTACAGATTACGAGAGTATACGCAAAAAACAACAAGAACAACATAATTACAGCTACTTTGAAACTTTGAGTTAAGTTAGTAAGCTGTTTGTTTCCCACTACTGGAAGGCAGTTCAAGCTTGGATTGTATGCACGTCTTCTATCTCACATACTGTGCTAACTGAAGGTTCACCAAAGCATGTGGGGAATTGTCAGAATGGAAATACTGGATTACGGTTAGCGAATAATTAGGATGGAAATGCTTTGGGACACAATATCTACTAAGGTGGTGTGTGAGTAAAGTTATTCAGTCAGTAGTGCTGGTGTCAAAACCAAGCAAAACTTCTAGTAGTAAAAACAAACTAAAAAACAGATATGAGTTATTTACATTTGTTGGTGATTTCGAATCTCCATGAATTTCAAAAAATATTCGTAGTCAGGACTCATTGAAATCAATTCGCTTGCGACTGATCAGTACAGACGAAGATCCTGTGATCTAGATACAAACAACTAAATGTGTTATCCGTTCGGTGGTGACTGAAAGTGGCATCCAGTTTGTTATATTTAAGTTTCGTCAGCCGCAAGAGCATGTATATCAAAGAATGATGATTTTTCACACAGAGACGTAACCGTTTCCATCATTGTACTGTGTCAGATGAATAACATCAAAGCGAAAATCAAGTTAACATAAAAGTATCCATGTAACAGGCATATAAGTGTGAGAGAAAAAGACAATCTGATTCGGATTTGAGAAGCTGACAGCCAGGAATTACAAATAGAAACAAGTTAATGGTATACTATTGACCCCTTATCATACTTTTGTAATCTGGTTTCGTTTGTTCACCAGTTCGCGCTATATCAAAGCTCAAAAAACTTAAAGCAGTGTAATTTTCAGTTGTGGTCAGTCTTATTAAATCTTTCTGCTTTACTAAATGCGGATTATGCCTGAAGATAAGGATTTAGTTTCAACTCAGGTTGTTACTCTTCGAGCTTTGATATTCGATAGTGGACGTTTCATCATAAAACCTGGGGACATTTTCATTAAGAAAGTTCACTTAAGAAGTACTACTTGTTTAATAACTTTTTTAATGAAGGTAGCATTGAAGATGTCGAAAAGCCTTATGATATAACATTCATGGTCCAATATCCAGGCTTGAAAAGAGCCTAACAACTTCTACATTACTGATCGACGAGACAGTCATTGCAACTTTCAGTATAATGGCTGATGAAGTTAGGAGATTTTCTGAATTGATAATATCAGGAAGTATCTAGAAGTCGGATTGATCAATATATCACGATAATCTATTATTTCTACTTCTCATATCGTTACTGCAATAGTGATTTATGTAGATATTGGAGTTAATAGTTTAAAACCGTCTTTGACGAATTTGTAAAACTAATAAAAGAATAATGGGATTGCTCATGTTGGTTAATAGGAACAAATGACGACCTTACCGATCCAAGTAGTTTATTGGTAGCGTATGCAATGCGCCTACAAACGGAAGCCCTATGTTCCACAAGGAACCCAAGGGAACAATAATAATAATTTTACGAAAACTAACATCATCGCCTATTTTAATTTGATAATATGGATAAATGGCTCTGATGATAGCTGAATAATCAACTCATACATCTGTAATGGCTGAGTAAACACTATTGCACACACTTTCTAACAACAACTTATCTGCAGAGACAGGAGACAAACATATGAACGATTAGCTGACTAGTGAATACAAAAAGCATTTGCCAAGTAGACAATTTCTAATGCAGATTATAGTATCACAAAAAGAATGATTATACTTCATTTTATAATTTTTCCCCGAAATGCTGTATTTTCACAATATTGGAAGCACAATTTTTGATATCCCTATTCCGTCAAATTCTGAAGCTTACTACATATGTTGGTGGTAATCACATATAGTAGCTTAAAATCATTTAACTACCCATTTATGATAAGGGATATTCTATTATTATGAATCATGTTCCAAGTCATTCGCATAGCTATTGGGTGCTTTAGACAATTGTTAGGGAGTATAGGGGAAGTGAATGAGTTACAGATATGTTTTTTGGATAAATCAGCCAATATAAAAAGGCTTAAAGTGGGTTAAGTGCAATCGATAAAATGGAATTATGATAGTAATAAGTTATAACAGGAGAATAGTGAGGTGCAATAAATTTAATAAGGAAGAACATAAATGTTTTGCCAAACGTTTTTAAATGCAGTTTAGACTTGTCTTCACATATGGGTAGTGCTCTAGCTACACATATATTATGAAAATGCAGACTCTTGGAGTTGGTTGAATCTACCCGTGTGTATAACTAAGGGACATAGACAACAACGACCTAGATGACCTCACACTAAAAGATAACCTCAAGTGGATTTTGCTGTCAGTCAAGCTGTATACTGTTCAGCGATGCGTCTTCTGAAAACTTGATACAACTTCGAGTATAATCAGAACCACAGAAGCATTCGAAATAGTACCGTATATGGTAATCAACGTTTAGTCTATCAACTGATTTTACCTATTTAAATAACGCCTATTTTTGGCCTTTATTAAGCTGCGTACTAGTTAACCTACTTGTGAGTATGCATTCTCTCTCCTTGTGTATCCTCTCTCTATCCGTGTTCAATGACTATACAAGTTCGTTACACGTATTGTCAAGAAATAATTTGGGGAAAACATAAAATTGGTGGCGAGTATGCCGGATTCATCAGACCTGGACAGATTTCCTGAACAACAGATGAAAGGTACCGAGTTTCTTGACCGCTGAAAAAGTCTAATCTAGAATCCTCCTGGGCTAATTCGGCTGAAATATCCTTTTCAGTAGGTGGGATTTCGAATAGCATTACTGAATTCTACTACGCCCCTGATGCCAGTATAACATTTTATACTTGATTAAAGCGATATGATGATGGTACTTAATCTACTTTAAGCCTCTTTATTTAATTCCTTTCTTCAAGATCTCCCTAACAATTGCGTTGACTTTTTTAAACAATACCTTTTTATGTGGTAAAAATACAAATTCTATCTCTAAAATGAAGTCGTTGAGAAGAATTGTTTCTCTGGTGAATAAATCTTCGTTTTCCTTGAAAAGCCATAATTCAGTACGCCTTTTCAGTCGGTACATCAACAAACTTAAGAAAAAAATAGTTACACCAGCCCTGCTTAAAAATCTTGATGGAGTAACCCTGACAGTCTTAAAAAGTATTTCTGAGCTGGAAATATAATTATTTCCGTAGCCATGTGAAAATTCGTTGAAGCAACTGTACGTAATCTGACTGAAAATATTTTGTGGTCTCTCAAATTATTATTTTCTCTTATCTGTACCCACTTTGTCTGAGTTAATACATCAGTAATGGATATAGCACGGGAAGGTACTACTGTCAACCTATTGTCGACGCTATTAAATAAGTTACTGAACCGATCAAAACAGTCGAGATATGACGGGCGCCAGAATTAACTGGTTACTGAAAGAACGCATACGCAACTTCATGCCATCTTAAGCTTGATCTGACTAATGTAACCCTGACACAACTAGGTTCAAATCATAGCTTTCGATATGCTAACGAAGAAAAACGGTATTGACCGATAGACTTCCCAGTTTTAGGGTATTCTAAAACTTATCCTGACAAGAAAGGATCGCACTTAAACTGATGAGGCGACAGTGACTAACGATTAAGTGTTTGTAGGTTTTCCAAGTTTAAAATTGCAGTGAACCTAAACAGCTGAGAAGTCGAAAGCAGGGGACAGACAAGACGAGAACCTTTCTTCATAAAAACCTATGAAGAATGACATTTCTCAAGCAGTAGTTTGACTTTCCCATCCTACTTTACGTAAACAAACTGTTGATAGGAGCCATCCCCATACGCCCCCTTGTTTCCAGTTGTCTTGCCTTATATTTCAAAGTGACGGCAGAGTTTGGAAAGCTGAGTGCAACGAGTGACAATAATACCTTAAAAAGAAATTGATGACTAGGTGAACTGTGTTAAGAAACTATTGCCTGTTAGAGCATGAGCAAGAACTCTTGTCATTATAGCCAGTATGACCATTTATTTTCTGTCTACAACCGAAATTTCAAAAGACAATCTAGAAGCTGGAACGCAAGGGACTACTTCGCACGTAACTTGCATTATTCTCTATAGTTAAAAATATGGTAACAATCCAGTTCTACTTCGAAAGTACCGGAAATATTTAACATTCCACGCTCTGGCAGAATTTTCCGTTGGTTGAGAACTTTACTTGTGATGTAATCTAGCAGCAGGCCTCACTCACGATACAATATAAGATATATAGATTAGTATACACTTCACAGTTTACCGTAATTACACTAACGGATTAAAAAAGAGCTGATAATAAGAAGTAAAACTCAACAGCAAAATTGAAAGTTTATTTGGTTCACGGGTATCAATCTTAGACAAATAAATCACACTCAATCGTTTACCCAGGTGGCCAATTCATTTGACGACCACCGAGGACATGCAGGTGTAAATGGTACACTGACTGAGCACCGTCAGGACCGTTGTTCACGACTACACGATATCCTGAAGTTAATTTTTCTTTCTTAGCAACTTGACTGCATACGAGCATTAAATGACCTAGTAGCTTATTACATAACTAAATTAAAAAATATGGGGCATACCTTCTCGTTTTCTTCAGATGCCGAATCAAGCATAGGTATTTGTTTCTTTGGAATGACTAAAAAGTGAACTGGAGCTTGCGGACTTATGTCTCTGAACGCAAGACAGTCATTGTCTTCGTATATAATGTCTGCTGGATCTCTTTACTTATTATTTTAGAGAAGATTGTAGGTTCATGGCTTTTTTGTGAGACTTTGGCTTTTTCTACTTCTGACGACATTTCTCTTCTAACGCTGGAAAATATGCGGCTAGATGAGCGAAAGCCAGCCAAACTATAAGCGGCAGTCAGAAATGAACTATTCAGAACGCGCATAGAAGACCAACCTTGAAATACAGAGTAGAAAAAGTAAATATTTTTCAATTGAAAATCACGATGTTCTCATGACAGTAACATTGATAATAGCAAAAAAACAATCCTCAAATCTAGTTTCCATGTGTTTGACAAACTAGTGTATTTCCCAACAGCTGAAGAAAAACGACTAGTACTTTGAATGCTCTCTTTTCAATTTCTAGTGCATCAGATTCAGATTTATTGGTTGGGATAGAAGGCTTGGAGCATATGTTAATCCTTTTCTAGTAGATTTCTGTGGTTGTCCAAACCCTTCTTGAACGAATCAGTTGAGGTTGCAGACACCACTTCTTCTGGGAGTCGGTTCCAAGAGTTTGTGACTAGATGTGAGAACCAGTACTCAACAGCAATATGATTTCTTCTTGGCTTCTGAACTCTCCGACCTGGTGGGAAGGAAAAGAGAGAATAGGTCAGGTCCGTAGTCATTATTTAAAATTTTAAACATTGTGATTAAATCTCCTGTCTGTCTACGGTATGACAGTGAGAAAAGATTTAAACTGTCCAGGCTTTCCTCGTATGATAAGTTAGCTATGCTGTGAACCATACTTGTTGCCTTCCTTTGAACATTTTCTAGAATGTGTGAATCCCCTTTTAGACAAGTGAATGTTTCCTTCCGTATGAGAAAAAGTTCTAGAGTTGTGGGAGAGAGGACAATAAATAGAAAGTAACTAAAATGCACGACTGTCTCTTTCATCCACTGGAAAAACAGTAGCTTGATAGTCGCATCAAAATACATTTTGTAAACCATTGTTCACTAACCGAATTTGAAGCTTCAATGAATTACACAATAATAACTTAAAATACGCCGCTTGTCTGGTGGTGTTGCTGAATCCCCTTGTTATTTCTCTCGATTACTGGTTATTTAATCTAAGTTGTAATACTACCAGTTTTGATAACTACATCATACTATCTCTTCTTAAAATCCATTGAAGTCCACAATTTATACTGAGCTAGGGCGAACTGAGATCTTTGTTGGTTGATCTTTTCTTCCTACCAGTTCCGGAAACTTTACTTTCTGCAATTCTTGTATAGAAATATCTTCCACAGATAAACGATGACAAATCCACTCTCGAGATAATTTAAGTAGAGCAGTCGTCGTCTCTGCACTTACTATAGCGTCAGTCAGTGTAGCCTTAATACAGATTCATACATTTTGCTACGAGTGGCCTTGTTGAATATGTCCGATAGTTATAGCACTGCTGTTCGTCGCGTGGTGGTTTATTGACAAGTCATATTTTTCACATGCTTTTTGAATGAAATTCCTCATTAAAATTTCTTTCCAACGTACATAATATCAGCAGTGTGATATGCCTTAGCTGCGTTACATCTGAATCGAAGTGAGTAAGACTATAGAATTTGCAATCCTGTTAGCACGCTTGTGTTAAATACTTCTCTTATGCATTACGACGCGTCTTCTTATTTCATTTTCGTTTTCCCATTTGTAGATTATTGGTCTTCATAGACATTGCATTAGATGCCACCATGCACACTGTCTTCAAACAGCCTCTCGATCCATCTAATTCCCGCGAAAACGTTGATACGAGGCCCTGAAATAATTCACACGGGATCATTCTGCAAATAAGATGATTATTTTAATGTTGCGATGGTATGCAAGATAGATGCATATTGCTGTGAAGTATGCCTGTAATAACATTACCTACGTAAATAATAAAATCCTGACATCTTTTGATAAAAGCTGTCAGGTGAGTTAAATAAATGTAGGTCTCATCTGACTCACAACTTATCAGCTAGAATTATCTTGTAAGTAAGTGCCAATATTTGTCGGTCTGTTTTACAGACATTCATCAACAAACAAGCAGAGTTTTATGGTAGTCAGAGGAAGAAAATCTGGCTCAAGTTTTCGCATGGTTTATGATTAGATGTGATGTTGGTTGATTCCAATTTGTACGACGAAATTTCTAAAAATCTCCATCATTTTGATAATCCCGACCTCCATTTGGAAACCAGATGATTCCAGATAGATATCAAGTAAATCAAGTAAAATTTTATAGTCAAATGACTCTTTCTTTACCGAACAGTTAACTGACATGAATATGAACAGTGAGTTGTGCTCAGAGCGTATCACTGTGTGGTTTATGCACAAAATTGTTCTATTATATTTCATACTATATTGTTCAAATTCTTCTCTTAGAGTCTACATTTGTTGTTCTGATTCTGATTAACTCACACTGAAATGAACGAGGGAGGTATGTTCAAAGATAATATATCCCAATATTGTGCCCGCCGTCCAAAGGGAAAGAAAAGAAATCGGTATTCATTGGGAGTCTATAGGCTATAACCAGGTGATTCTACGCAATTAAAGGTTACCGCGCTCACGTATATAGGCGTTGTCAGTCACGTATCGTAAACCGTTAATGCCCAGCTCTTGCTACGCTCGGGCTCTCGCTGTTCCCTGAAGATTCACAGAAACGCTTAGTAATAACGGACGAAAAAACCAAAACACCAATTGTTGACTCGAGGATTATTTATTGTTACACCAACATATAAATAATGTATTACTAATGTCTGTGAACAAATATTACAATAATAAATCACAATATTACTTCTGATGGTTTACTGCTGACTTCTTTCTGAACAGCGACCGATGAGACGATGACTGTCGTATTGATGCCTCCGCGAAAATTGGGGAAGTTGATTTTGAGCAAACAACCATGAATTGATCGTTCAATCTTCAACTACAGTGACACTCCCCGGCAAAAAAGGGATCCATCCCTTTTTTCCATCACGACCAATACACGTTGACTTGGATGCCATTGCGAGAACCTGGGTCACACGGACAGAGCTGAAATGGAAAACAAACAGAAAAGCCAACACACCACAAGCATACCCACAGCACAATCTCACACATCAATGACGACCTGCGCCTCCATCTTGCAACACAATCGCCACTTGCTAGAATGACTCTTGCAGAATGCAACGTGACCATGGCAGTACCTCACGATACTCCACGCACATCCTCTTATCTACTCACTACCAATTACCACTGAAATCGCTTGTCACTCATTCTGCCTCAGTTCTAGTAGCGGTGACGCATGCGAGCCTCAGTCGTTTACACTCTTTCTCCCCGGCGTGTCGGACCGCAGCTAACAATTATCTCCGTGTGCATTTCATTCTCAGCAATAGCCTAACCTCCCCGGCGTATACGACCCATCTGCTGTCCTTAACATCAATCAATTCATTCATGGATGTAGAAGAGTGGACACAACTTCAGAAGTAATCACGACGAAAATTTTAACAAAATTATGCAATAACAACAAGGCACGAAAACAACGAGTAAACACAATGAATCAAAAATCACAAATTGATATGACACACGACACGTATACACAAACAGTACAAATAACCTCGCGTATCTTGTCTTGATGGAATTCCTTTGAAGAATCGCAGGACTTACACCAGTACGCCTACAACCCTTCACAGGTTGACGATTGTAAGTTGTGGAATGTCCGGACACAATCAAGATTAACCAACAATTACATCAATTGGAACTCACACAATTATTTAACACAAACATATGTACAATCAATACATCAAATGTTGTGGATTCCGGCATGAAAAACTACCCTTGAAGAACTGTAGGACTTACAGCAGTACGCCTACATTCCTTCTCAGGTTGATGATCCAAGTGGAAGTCGTCCGGACACAAACAGAATTACCAACAGCTAGATGACAGATGATATCAGTTCAGTATATACAACATCAACATATGTACAAAATCACACACCGAGCACATTGGACTGCTCATTGATGCGCTACCCTTTGAAGAATTGTAGGACTTACAGCAGTACGCCTACAACCCTTCTCAGGTTGACGCTCTAGGTTGGAAAATCGTCGCAGAGTTCATTTGCTAACTTCCTTCTATCAGCTATATCCTCAAATCTGAACGGCAACACGCCCATGTCATTGTATCGTAGAATATAGATGACCAACAAACACACGACATATCTCATCAACCAAGTATAGAAACAGAGTAATTTACACCAAAGATAATAGCACTCAAATAGTAACTTGAAACTAGAAATGCCTTTATTCGTGCAAGTCAATTTAACAATTACTCTCTCGTTTACACTGGGCTTATCCTCACTAAACTGAGCAATACCTTTCGTCCTTTCAAACGCACCAATACTACCATAGTCATTGCACAAGATACTGGTGTTGATGGGCATCCTTCTCATTGTGCACGACAGCACGAACGACGACTGATTGATACTCTGCTACTCCTATTCATCTTCTGGTCGAGGTCGAACAACCCTGCATCTAAACTGAAATGAGGATTAATTCCAAACCATCTATTTCATAACCACCCAAATTCCATGAACGATCCAATTCTACCATTTGAAGACGCTGGCGAACATGCTGTAAATGAGTATTCATGATCTGAAATGAAGAAGCAACTGGTTTTCAATCAGTTTTCAACATTTTACTCAACTTACGAATACAGTCCGCCATGCAGACACAAATGGAGCAAATGGAGGATTCTGGAATCGACCTCGGCACCATTTGATGCAGTAAAACAACTTAACATGACCTCATCTAGTTTCCGCATCCGCGATCAAATTTCTTTCCTGTTATAAAACAAAGATAAGTCTACTGAAAAAATGGAATAAATATATCACTGATCTCAACATAATACATCAATAAACTTTAAGCCAAGGGTGCTGTTCACAACAAAGTTATGTAAGAGAATTGACTTCAAGCTTTTTTTCCCAGGTATCCGTATTACATTCATCTGATGTCTGGGTTTTTTTAATGCGAAGACAATATTTCTATATCTCTTTATGTGCTAAACAAACAGACTGTATAGCAGACTGTTCCGACTGACTCTAATGGCAGAACAACCAAACTATAAATTCATCATACCTCAAATTATGTGTAATTTATATAATAACTTATCCATGCCTGTACAATTGGTATGTTCCTGCATAAACAGGAAGAAATATATATTATATTATACCAGTTGATGAAGTTAACGGTGGATCAGGACCTGTTGTTGCTCGACTTTCAGAAATTTGTCTACCTGCAAGACCACTACCACTGCTGTCTTTTACTATCAGCTCAGGTTTAGCACTAGCATCTGATGATAGGCGGGCTACATGCTGATCACTCACAGTGACGGTCTCACAAGTATGTATGCCTCCTGCAACTGCATCTCTTTCTACTTCACGTTCAATTTGTACAGAACCTTTAATTAGCATAGCGGTAGTAGGCATTCCCTCCATTTCATAATGATCAACAAAAGACAAATGTTCACTATCATCATCATTATCACGAATATTGAATTTACCATCATCTCTCTGGTCAACCTCATTATTATCAAAATCTTTAATAACAGAAGCAGACAATTTTGGTTCCTCCTCGCAAATCATTAAAGGTTTTTTATCTTCACTCCGAATAGTAATACCTTGTAAATTTGTGGAGTCAGAACTGCACTCTGAAGCAGCAACTCTATTCTGTGACACTCTATTCAACAATGGCTTACCAGTTGCAACTACAGACTTCTTCACAACACCGTTATCGTCACACAATTCGGAGTCAGACCTGGAGTTTACATTTAGCTTATCACTGAACTTGCTCACTGGTTCACAGTTCACTTCTGTATGCACCTCTTGCAAACGTGTAAAACACAACCGTGTTTGTCTTGCATCTTGTAACTTATCTGTTGAGGATGTACTACGAAACCTGTTACACTCACTAAGTTTATATGCATTACTAGACATCATGGAGCCTTCTCGATATCCACCTCTCTGAGGCCTATTCGTCATCAATGATTGCGTTTTGCTCTCAGACTGCTCTATTCTAGGGGTGAGATTCAATATACTGGCGAACTTGCTCATAGATTGATTGACACTAGTATTTACCAGTTTCAGGATATCATCAAACTTTGGCTCGACACCCTCATCCTCCATACGGGAGCTTATCTTCACCCACTTCCTTTGCAGTCGAGTAGGTAGACGTCTTGCTATTACTTCTAGTATAAAACTCGAGTTGAGGTCACTCATGCGATTCATCGAAATCATTCCATTCTTGTAAATTAGCAAATTATCTAAAAACTCAGTGAGTGCCTGGGAGTCATCCTGTAATTGACCACCATTACCCTTAACAGCCTCGAATAATTTCCCTGCAATCATCGAAGGTCTCCCAAACCTTTGACGTAATATGCTCATAGCCTCGTAGTAGCCCTCTTTTGGCTTCATAAACTTACAACACTGTATAGCTCTTGCAGCATCTCCAGTGCAATATCTCATCAAATACATTAACTTCAATTCATCAGTTAATAGAAAACTACTCAGCATGATCTCAAACTCCTTTACAAACTGTAAATAATCGGCCGGGTTTCCATCAAAACATCGTGGTTCAAACTTAGGGAGTTTGATGTTCCTATTATCCCTGAACGGCGAAACAGTAACATCAACCATGTCATGCTTAACATCAGACACATCGTTACAATTAACAGACAAGTCACCATGACTTACTTTCCTGTTTTCATCCAAGACACTCTGTCCCTTCTTTGACCCAGGCATTGTTGAACTTGAACCAATTCCAAAAAGGTTCCAGATATTGCTTGTTCAAAGAGGACTTGACCGGCACCAGGAAAGATGAACGGTGACTATCCAAACTTTCACCAACTGTCTGAATCCGCCAGAGTCTGTTTCCACCGTCAGAAACTGTCAGTCACGTCTCGTAAACCGTTAATGCCCAGCTCTCGCTACGCTCGGGCCCACGCTGTTCCTTACAGTTTTTCAGAAACGCTTAGTAATAACGGACGAAAAAACCAAAACACCGATTGGCCGCTTGAGAATTCTTTATTGTAACACCAACATATAAAAATTATATTTCTATTAAGGTCTGTGAACAAATATTACAATAATAAATCATAAGATTACTTCTGATGGTTTGCTACTGACTTCTTCCTGAACAGCGACCGATGAGACGATGACTGTCGTATTGATGCCTCCGCGAAAATTGGGGAAGTTGAGTTTGAGCAAACAACCAAGAATTGATCGTTCAATCTTCAACTCATTGACACACCCCGTTTTTCAATCCTCACGGATAATGAAATGGAGCTATGAAGGTTGGGTCGGTTTCAAATTTTTCTTTGATCCCCTATAACCGCATATGAACCTGGGCTTTCGTTAGATCTATTGTGACGGCCACGCCGATTATGTCATCGTATTTGTCTTCTGGGCGACAGTAGTCTGTTGACACAGCCGTCACACTATATACACTACCGCTCACTTCCATACTGCAATTTGTTTCTTTCACGATTTGAATAGCATGCCGAACTTCTAGTCATTTTCGGACATTCCGTATTCTCCTGCTTAGTTTCACTTTTTAAGAGGCTGGTGATGTTGACATTCGCAGATCGTACGACGTATGCTAACGCAAGATCTTAAGGCCATAATTCCTATAGTATTTGTTCCACGTAGACCAGAGACAAAAGAAAACACCAAACTGGTCAACTGAAATATGGAGTATATATCAGTACCAAAGTCGTAGTGGGAGCATGATTGCTTAACTAGCTGGGGATCGTGCACGAACAACTGAACATGACACGATAGCGTGTCATATGGTGTAAATGTTTGTTCTCAAGCCTTCACCTACCAAGTCGACTCAAACGGCTAAGGTCAGCAGTCACTGTTGAGTGGTGGATGCTGTGAGATAATAAACTGTGGGAATTATCTACTGCTACAGTTTCATCAAAATAGGACACATTGGTCTAATGACTTCCCGAAGTCTTTTACGAACCCTCATCATTACGTGTCTAACTGATTCTAGCGAAAGAGTCTATTTTACTTTTATTTCAGCGAACCAAGGCTCCTGTGGCAAATTGGCTGGCTTTCGGTAGCGGTGTCGCTAGCCCTACGCTCGGCCTTCCCTCTTTTCCAGGGCTTAGGCCAGGCTAGCAAACTAGTGAAATTTTAGATAAGAAAAAGTTCGGATGAACACAAAAACAATCTTTCAGCTTCAACTGATGCAGTTACCAGAGCTTAGTTTAGGCAGATGTTGTTCAGAAAAGTCAAACCAAAATCAGCAACGAGTCCATATCTGAGGTGCTATCGTCAGTATTTTCCCTTTTTTCAGCAACAATAACCCACTGACATCCTCGTCTGCGCCACTGCTCGAACTACACTGGCTGTCTAATGGCGATTTCACGTCAACGATTCCTTGAACACTGCCATCCCTCAGAGCTTGCTAGAGGATAGTAATATTGATAGAGCAGCTGGCGACGCAGCAGAAGACTATACATCATAAATTATCATTCTCACGTGAGTATCATGCATTTTTGTTCGTGAAGCAGTTGTGATCGACCTTAATCACAGTGGTTAGGACTCTCGCCGACCATGCACATGGTCCGAGGTTCGATCACCTGCTAACCCACACCTGATATCTATGGTCGGCCTGCAAAATTTGGGCTGCCGACATCCATGCTGAAAATTCGAGCGACTTTATTGCATATCCCTTCAATGACGCTTGTTGCTATGTTGCTATTGGTTAAAAGCGGCCTTGATTTTCGGGGAAGATACAACTGATGTAATATTGCGATTCCATAGATATAACTCAGGCTCATAGGTGAAAGGAAGTTATTATCCTTGTCAACGGAGTTGAAGATTGAACGATCAATTCATGGTTGTTTGCTCAAAACCAACTTCCCCAATTTTCGCGGAAGCATCAATACGACAGTCATCGTCTCATCGGTCGCTGTTCAAGAAGAAGTCAGTAGCAAACCATCAGAAGTAATCTTATGATTTAATATTGTAATATTTGTTCACAGACCTTAATAGAAATAATTTTTATATGTTGGTGTTACAATAAAGAATTCTCAAGCGGCCAATCGGTGTTTTGGTTTTTTCGTCCGTTATTACTAAGCGTTTCTGAAAAACTTCAAGGAACAGCGTGGGCCCGAGCGTAGCGAGAGCTGGGCATTAACGGTTTATGAGACGTGACTGACAGTTTCTGACGGTAGAAACAGACTCTGGCGGATTCAGACAGTTGGTGAAAGTTTGGATAGTCACCGTTCATCTTTCCTGGTGCCGGTCAAGTCCTCTTTGAACAAGCAATATCTGGAACTTTTTGGAATTGGTTCAAGTTCAACAATGCCTGGGTCAAAGAAGGGACAGAGTGTCTTGGATGCAAACAGGAAAGTAAGTCATGGTGACTTGTCTGTTAATTGTAACGATGTGTCTGATGTTAAGCATGACATGGTTGATGTTACTGTTTCGCCGTTCAGGGATAATAGGAACATCAAACTCCCTAAGTTTGAACCACGATGTTTTGATGGAAACCCGGCCGATTATTTACAGTTTGTAAAGGAGTTTGAGATCATGTTGAGTGGTTTTTTATTAAATGATGAATTGAAGTTAATGTATTTGATGAGATATTGCACTGGAGATGCTGCAAGAGCTATACAGTGTTGTAAGTTTATGAAGCCAAAAGAGGGCTACTACGAGGCTATGAGCATATTACGTCAAAGGTTTGGGAGACCTTCGATGATTGCAGGGAAATTATTCGAGGCTGTTAAGGGTAATGGTGGTCAATTACAGGATGACTCCCAGGCACTCACTGAGTTTTTAGATAATTTGCTAATTTACAAGAATGGAATGATTTCGATGAATCGCATGAGTGACCTCAACTCGAGTTTTATACTAGAAGTAATAGCAAGACGTCTACCTACTCGACTGCAAAGGAAGTGGGTGAAGATAAGCTCCCGTATGGAGGATGAGGGTATCGAGCCAAAGTTTGATGATATCCTGAAACTGGTAAATACTAGTGTCAATCAATCTATGAGCAAGTTCGCCAGTATATTGAATCTCACCCCTAGAATAGAGCAGTCTGAGAGCAAAACGCAATCATTGATGACGAATAGGCCTCAGAGAGGTGGATATCGAGAAGGCTCCATGATGTCTAGTAATGCATATAGACCTAGTGAGTGTAACAGGTTTCGTAGTACATCCTCAACAGATAAGTTACAAGATGCAAGACAAACACGGTTGTGTTTTACACGTTTGCAAGAGGTGCATACAGAAGTGAACTGTGAACCAGTGAGCAAGTTCAGTGATAAGCTAAATGTAAACTCCAGGTCTGACTCCGAATTGTGTGACGATAACGGTGTTGTGAAGAAGTCTGTAGTTGCAACTGGTAAGCCATTGTTGAATAGAGTGTCACAGAATAGAGTTACTGCTTCAGAGTGCAGTTCTGACTTACAAGTTTACAAGGTATTACTAGTCAGAGTGAAGTTATAAAACCTTTATGATTTGCGAGGAGGAACCAAAATTGTCTACTTCTGTTATTAAATATTTTCATAATGATGAGGTTGACCAGAGAGATGATGGTAAATTCAATATTCGTGATAATGATGATGATAGTG